TGTATTAATGTGAAAATACGTACTTTGAGACAACAAAAATTAGGAAACCCTTATCCTCTTTTTTTCAGAAAGAATTATTTATTATGGAATTTTACAACGAACTCTGATTGCTTACAGTTGTTTATAAAAATCGAATTTATTTTTCTTCATGCTTTTTATTTTCTCACTTCTAAGCCTTAACAGAATTCCACTTGTCACTTTCGTTTTCATTAATGTACTTTCATTTTCTCTAACGTACTTTCATTTTGTTTAAAGTTGATTTAAAGTTGCGTTTTCAGTTTCTCACATAAATATTGAAAAAAAAATTGACCTGAAAGTACCTCCTAAGACTCATCTACTCTTTTCTGCTCTCCTTAAATTATACATTGCATATACTAGACAATAGCCGGATCTAATTCTGAACTACTTCGTCAGTTGTAGTTAAAGCCTAGGGGAAAGCCATCCGTTTATCTTGCACACAGTTAGTATGTAACTCCATTCAATCAAAGCTGAGTGTGTTTTCCAAGACTTTGCCATTGGAGCACAGGTCCACTGTCATCTTATTGAAAACAAGGAGAACTGTCTTTTTTCTGTCCATGGATAAGTGATGGGTCCTAAGTGGACACCTAGAAGTTCTCCTGCTTTTAGGAGTATTAACCATCAAGTGTATTTTATGCTTTTAGAATTTTCACTGGAGAGTCAGGCTTAGGGAAGAACGGTGGGGTTTTAGTGGTTTGTGTGTGTGTCTGTTTGTTTATTTTTGACCTTTCACATGCTACTTATTTTGTCATCCATGTCATACTTATTTTGTTAAATGTGCAGAAGGTGGTCTCAGAGCTCAGAGATCTCCTTGCAGTTAGGTAGGTGTGTTTGGAGAGGAAAGTTGAATAATTTCTGATGTGAAATAACAATCAATTTGGGCATATGGCATTTTGAGATATGTGTACAATAATCTTAGAGATGTCTGGATTGCTTAAGCATGTTATTCACTTGTTGCTCTTTAGCGTCTGATACATGGGATACACACAAAATAAATGCATTATTTGCACAAAATAAATGCCTTTTATTAAGAATGTTTGATAGCTCTGGTGCTGTTCGTGCTCAGAATGTGATATTTTAGAGTGCATGTTTGTATGCAAGGGATTATTGTTGCATTTTATCATGCTGTGGTTAGAATACGTGGAAAATGTTTTTCTGCAATATTACTACATCATATAAAACACACGTGGTAATTCTAAATGTAGTAAAGTGACCATGACATGATGTTCATCGTCAGTCTTTGGCCCACCAGTTGTTTTCACTCATGTAAGAAGTAATCAGACCCAAACTGACTTTGAAAGGTGATCCATTTCTATCTTAAAATGGGTTTAAATGGAATCTTTCTCATGCCTTTCAGTCCCAAGTGGGTCTTTTTTTTTTTCCTGCTGCTCCCTACAAGTGTGTTCTTGTTTTGTATTTCAGAACTGGATTTTCATTTAGCAATTAATGTGGGTGATTCAAGTCACTCCTTCTGTATTTTATTAATTTTTGCCAAATATAGTATTTCTCAGCCTACTATTGATTGAGCAGAATGGGGCTTGCCTACACAAAATTTCTTAGGAAATACAATTTGCACATCCAGATTTTTAACTACACCCACTCTCCCCATTATTGCAAGGTGTTAATCTAGTTGTATGATGCTGCCTGCACAGATGCATACCCTCTTTAAAAATAGGTTATGTGCCTAAATCCTTTAGAGAGCTCGAATACTGATTTTTTTCTAGGTCTTGGTGCTCACCAAATATTTAGCTCTTGTGGTTACTGTATCAGTTTTTGTGAAGGTTTTTCCATGCTTTTAAAAGGTGCTTTTACTAATTAGTTTAATCCTAAAGTGCAGCTGAGTTCTTTTGCAGTAAAAGCAACTACTAATTTTAAAAGTAATTTTAAATTTACACATATCCATTTTAACAGTACATTTGACTTGAGTACTTCTTTTCCAGAAATCTACCCTGGAGAAAATGTTTTTAATCAGGTTAAAATGGAGGCAAGATAGAAAAAAAAAAATGTTTGCTATGGCTTGACTGCAGCAGTGCTAATGAGCTCTGCTCTAATACATGGAGGAACATATGGCCCCCATCTGAATGCAAACTGGACACAAAGCAGTAATTCAGCTGAGATGTCCTGAATATTGTAAACTGGGTGAATGTGGTTGAAGGTGTTTATAAACGGTGGCTGAATCCCACACACTGACTCACTGCCTTCTAATGTCCGGGGCTCAAGGTGCTGTTTGTAAGAGTATAGAAAATGACCAGAGGAGGGAATTCTTAATTAATGCTAACAAAATAGCTAACTGGAGTGTTATGTTACGAAGAAAAGACTTCTTGTGCTCATGACGCAGCAAGAGACGGATTATGGAGAGGGCGAGTTAGGAGAAGAAAAATCACAGGACAAGCAAATTGAGTATTTACTGGCAAATAATTGCTCTCTTAAGCTGTGGCTCTCTTCCTAAATTCTCGGCATTCCTGAGCACTAGAACTGTATTTTTAAAAATGCATCGTTGCAGAGTAGATGCAAAAAAACCCTCAAAGGCTGATATTACAGGCTTGTGCAGGTAAGACTGTGTGTTACTGCCTATATTTCTTCTGAAGCTTTAGACTGACCGTTGCTTATGGATAGAATACTGCTTTTTTTTTTTTTCTGTTTCCAAGGAACTGATATTTTGGTTTCACAGCTATATTCTGTCTGAAAGTTAGGGAAATGGTGATGGTCCTCTAGATTGTAGTGCATGCTTTTGTGTCAGCTCGGATATGCCGATGTACATAAAAACAAAACAAGCTTTTAGGAGTTCCAATTTTGTTTAATTTAATTGGGTTCTGGCTTTTCTAGAAGTGCCTCTACTTAAAAAAATCTATACAGCAATTGAGTGTGGGCAGAAACATGCCTCTGTGTGCTTGCATTTTGATACGATTTGATTTCCACAAAGGAGGGCTTAGGAGACTGTACAGGGACAGAACTTTTCTAGAATAACTCTCTGAGACTGCCCACATCCATATGTATCCCCTAGGTGTGGCTCCCCAAGGAAATGAGATTTCTGGAAACCCCTCTGTTTGCATACCTGTCTGCAATTCCTTTAATCTTTTGATTATAGCCACTTTCAGCCAACTTTGATGGGTAAAAGTGTCCAAGATACTAAAGCTTCTACATGTTTTGTAGAAGTGGGCAGCTCTTTAAAGGAGAAAAGCTCTTTTAATGACACCGCTGAGGGAAAGGCTGCCTCACCATTTTACCCGAAATTATGCATCAGAGACCCCACATGGACAGAGATTCAGAAGACAGCAGATACTTTTGGCTACTTGTGAATTGGCTCAGCTTCATGGAGAATTTGATTTTTTGTTTATTCCACATGTAAACTTCATTTTCTAGTACTGAAAAGATCTGTTAGCCTGTGGAGATCTGTAGATGGTTAGGAATACTCTGTCTTATACGGTTCTTTTTCACATCTTAATCACCAAATGACAAAACAGTATTGTTAGCATTTTTTTGTCATGCCTACAAACTGTTCTTCCTTTCTGCCCCCACTTCATGATGCACATTAAAAGGAATGGCCAAAACTATCTCGCTTTCCACAAGTAAATAAAAATAGTGTGCACCCATGAAGAACAGAAATGTATTCTCTTTTACAGAGATGTGATTTTAGTTGTGCCAGTCCTATGGCACACTGAACACTTGACTGATGGGCTCTCAAACTCACCAATCTAGAAAGCCACACTGTAAGCATTACAGAACCCAATATCTGGTCCTTCAAGAACAAATTGCTAAGTTCCTGGTGAGGAGTACCAGTGATTTAACCTTTTCCACAGGGGTGATTTCTCCTTAGCGTGCATCAAACTGAAGTTGGCTGATGTCTTTAAACACAGGCAGTTTTCAGTCCTCATACTTTATTGTACCACAGTTGTAGATATTCTGTTTATTGACTACTCTGCCAATTATTTCTGTAATTACGTTTATCATTATTGTAATGGTTCTTTATTATTGTTATTATTATTATGTCAATAATTAGTCCTTTTTAAACTCTCGAAACCTCTTGGCCCTTGTGATGTCTTGGTGCAGAGTCCTGCAAGTAAATTATATATTATGTGGATAAAAAATAATAATCCTTTTATTGGTTTTAATGTTCTTTAGTTTTAATGTCTGTTTCCTGGTAGGTCAGATTTATTTTCTTTTCTCTGTGCGGTTACATTTATATCACATCTCCTCTGTTCAGTCTTTTTCATTTTCATTGCCAGTTCGAAGCTATCTAAACTTTTTGCATATGAAAAGCTCTTGGGGGTTTTAATGAGTCTTTTTATTCTCTGAACGCTTTTTGTTTCTTTTACATCATATTTGAGGAAAGGTGATCAGGGTTGACAGCAAAATCCGGAGGGATGGCATAACACTAACTTACGTATCAGCATTTCTAGTATTCTTGAAAGAATTTCCTTTGGAGCACCAGTCTGCACGAGGTGCTGAGTGATCCCCAAAATTTCTGTTTCCCATGTCTGAGATGAATTCTCTGAACTCATCATGTGTTACAAGATGAAAGCAATGCGAGTTATTTCTTTATCTCTGATATTAGAAAAGGCTAACTACAGAATCCTGTTAAAAGTTTTTTAAAGTCAAAAGAAAGATCTGTAGGGAAGGATCATTGTACCTTGTGTGTTGTAAACTGGAAGGATTCCACAAGATGATGATGGCTGACATCTAAAGGAAGTACAGCTTGTTCTGTGACTTCTAGACCATCTGCAACTGACGTGGAAGAGATGAGAGGATGCCAAACAATAGCACAATTGTGATATAGTGGAAGTATGAATCAGGCATTGGTCTACCCTTCCTGGAAAACACAGTCGAAGCCTGAGACTGTTCCTAGGAAGGCACGCAGAGTCTTCATTTGTTTGAAAGAGATAAATTTCAGGCACCAATTCAAGACTAGCAATCACATTAAAATGTCTGGATCAAGCTTTTTCCAGGTTGGATTGTCAAATTTTATCTTTTTATTTCTGCAGATGTATAGAGGCATGTTATAGAAATATGTATTAAGAAGTCCCTGGGTCCTAGGAGAAAGTGTCAAGTTGACTCTGGCTAGAAGCAAGTGAGTTTTATTCACATTCCTTTCACTTCATTCACCTCTTTTCCATTCTCTTCTTGCCACCTCCTGTCTCTCATCTGATTTTTCTTTTCCTTGTTAAAAATTCTGACTGACCTGGTACATTTTAGTATGATATAGGCGGCCGTATTCGTCATGAAGGTGATAAAGCATACTTAAGTGCCTTCTCACTTGTCCAAGAGATACCATAGGTTTCAAAAAGCAGACTAGAGAACCCTGAGATAACACAGAGCTAAGATGTGCAGCTACCAATTCAGCTTCTGCAGTGCAAAGAATTCATATTTCCCATAAAAATCAGAAGAAAAAAAAAAAAAAAAGAGAAATAGTGAAAGAGTGAACTCAGAGAGTCCGAATGCATACATTTTAAAATTGTATTTATGGTAGATGATGCAGGGAAAGCATTTGTATGCCAAAACTAGCAATCCATTGCTAAGAAGGTAAGTTTCATGGCTAAAGCAGAGTGCTGAAGGGTAGAGACTGCACTGAATTCTTGTGGTCATTGACCAGCTGAGTAATTTGTACAACATTCCTAAGGTCTGTTTCCCACACCAAAGCAAAACTTTGTATAGGAAAAGATAAAAAAGGAAAGGTGTGTTACTTCTGAAATACTGAATACTGGAGTGGCTCAAAATGTGTTTCCGAAATGTGTTTAATGCATCGAGCAAAACAACATGTGTAGGTCATTAGGAGAAATCACACCACTACCAATACCTCTTTCTTGCCATCTTTCCCCTTTCTTACAGGTTTAATATGAGATAGCCAGCATACCAGTGATTAAGAAGCTATGTCCACACTTTTTCAGTTCTTTATATTTTGACAGTAGTGGGCTTCTCTGAGCTATTGATAACTTCAGATGCAGTTTGTTTGCATTTTTGTTCATACTACTATAAATCCCAATCTAGAATGACAATGGCTAAGGAATCTAAATACGTCATTACTAATAATATCATTAATAAAGTCATTAGGCTTTAATTTTTTGATTTTAAGCTTGAGGTGTCCAACTGAAATCTGTGGTGTGTGCTTACTGAATCAGTGCCATAGTGCAGGTCTGGGAGCCCTTCATCGTCACAGGTGGTTTTAAACACACTCAGTCTTGGGATACCAGAAGACTTTGAAGTGGTGTTGCCTTTCCCTGGAAATCAGTAGAGTTATCCTTGCAAAAGCAAGTAGTTTATGCAGTATGATAAAATGACTGTTACGTTGCTGGTGGAGGAAAAGATAAAGATCCTAACTACTAACTTTCTTATATGAGTCTAGAAAATAAGGTCTTTGAATTCACAGCAAAATCAAGGTGAGGGAAACCAAGAGGATAACTATTCAGAATTTTAGCTAGTAAAGAGAAATTAGGCTAGGGCAAATAATGAACAGGATCCTTACTGCCTAGGCATCGAAGTCCTTAAATTTTAGATTGCAATGAAAGTGTTTCTACATTTGGTCTATTAGGACAAAAAAAAAATCACAGTAATTCCAGACATATTTTTAAAAGCAATGAATACAGGTATGAGAGAGTATTGTAGGTAAATTATCCGATACAGAAGTTTTCCTTAGAGTTACAAAATATGTTATGTCATATTCACAGTTTTTCCATAAAAAGATTTTTCCGTTAGTCATCAGGATGGAACAACATTTATAGAACTTGGAAAAACAAGTCATAATACCTATAAAACATTTTGAAAAGTTAAAATGAAAACTTTCCGAGCAGTTGATAGAAAAGAAAGTAATGGGGAGATTTTTTCTGCTTTTGTGTAAAAGGTGGGAGTGTTGACTGGAGAATACTATAGCCAACTGCAAATATATGAAACTGTTAGAGAAAAGATTTCTCTCCTGTTCCTATTTTCAGACAAATTACCTTCGTGGTCCTGGTCCTTTCGTTCCACACAATTATCGACTGAGCTGAAGGAGATCTCCCTATAGCTGTGAGTAGTAATGAGGCTTTAGCATTTCTTTGCACATTGCTGCTAGAGAGTGACCTCTCTCTCTAGAAGGCTCACCTTTTCATTACAAAGGTGTTACTTCTTTTCTGCATATTTAAAGCACTGCATGTGCTACAATGCAATCACTTCACTGTGGAGTAACAGAAAAATTCAAGCTGACATAAGTTCCAACAAGCTTCTTTAACCTTGAAAGTGAAAGGTGTCCAGTAACAGGCAGGAGCTTTGAAAGACAGCGGAAGAATAGATTCATTTTGGATTGTACTCAGAATGTTGTATAAATGATCCAAGAAACTCAGAGAGATGCCACAAACACCCTATTAAGGAGATACCAGTGACAGAACGAGAGCTACTGTCCAAAACTGCTTGAGTTTTGACAGCATTACATGATGGCATCTGAGATGTATGTAGATGCCAGGCAGTGATAGTGTCCTTTGGTGAAGTCATTTATTCATCTGACACTGATTTTTCTCCTTGTACCAGTGCATGTACTCTCCTGTGTGACAGAATTGATGTGATCTCATGAAATTCCAAGAAAAGCAGAAATTGGGTAGACAAAATGGATGCTACTACCAAGAAAACTCTACTCAGTACTCTTAGAAGTAAAGGATATGGTGATGTGAGTCAGTCCTCACAACACAGCACTTCAAGGGAGATTGATAAATGGTGATTGGGCACAACTCACAGCTCTGTGCTATGAGGAGGTGATATCATGTGGCATATTTACCTGGGATTTTTGTGCTGGCAGAGAGTCGGGGAAAGAAATCTTTTTATGATCAAGCAGTATAGCTCAAAGCAGCATTGGTTTTATGAATGTGAATGATAGACAGTGGTGAATCGGAGTACAGCTGAATCCTAAACCAAGTGATTGTGATGGGGCAAATTATAGGGGAATTTATGCAAGGATCTCTGCTGCTATAGCTCAGATGATTCGTCTGTGCTGTTTTTTGCTCACTCTTTTCCAAGTTTATTTTGTATTATATATCATTCCTGTAATTGTGTTCTTTGTTGTTTCTCTCCTGACATGTTAAATCCCATAACACAGTCTAGTCATGATGTTTTCCTTCTCTTTCAAAGAGTCCCAAGAGAGAGAAGCAGGGAAGGTAGATGTATTTGACTTTGGAAAATGAGTTGATGCCAGTTGCAAAGGAAATAAAATATATCATAGGGGTCTGCTAAGGGGAGGGGAGTGAAAATATTTCTTGTTTGTGACAAAAGATTGCCTTGAAGATTGCTTCAGCTTGATCAGTCTGAAGTCCATGTCTCACTGTTTCCATTACAAAGGCTTTAATGTTCCTGTTTCTTTTGGAAAAGGACTTCATCTATTTTGAAATAAGTCCAAGGCTCCCCAAATGTACTGTTTGCTTTCAGGCTCAAAGCATGAGACCTATGCATTGGTGTCTCATTCTAGAGGGGCTAGAAAATACTACATGATTTAAGTCATGGGCCAGGATAGCCAAGCAGTCAGCATATGAGCAGCTCCATGGCAGCTGAGGATCACAGAATCCACAGCCTTATGCTGATACAGTGAGCACTACTTCTGCAAGGACTTTGAGTATGAAGATATTTGAGCACAGAACAGGGCCATGGCTTTCTCATGCTCTGGGCAATAGATGCAAGCAATATGCTTAGCAGACAGGAGAACAAGCTGTCAAGCTATGCCTGGCACAAGGACCACAGGATGGGAGAGGAACTGAAGTACTCTGCTGTGCAGGGAGTCTGTACTGTGGTGGGTCACTGCAGGGCTGTAATTAGATAAGAAAATCTCAGCCAGAATGAGTGAAACCCAGTAGATCTTTGTTTTACATACAATTTGTCTGGTTTGCACGTAAGAGGCTGGACTTCAGGATCTGTATTATGAAGGTACATTACTATTCATATGATACCTTCTTGGTATCAAGCCTGTAAACTGATGCAATTCATTCCTTCAGAGGATCCCAGTCAGGATTTGTTCACTGGGGTTGATCATTACAGAGCTGTAGTACATTAATTCAAGTCCTTAGCAAACAGTGGCTCAGTATCCTCCCCAAGCTTCCCACGGCTTCCTGTTGTGAGAACATAGCTTTCTGCTGTTTTTCCTTTGTCTGCTCCTGAGATGTCCCTAATCTCTTCTGAGCATCAGCCCCCATTTTTCTGTTTGCAGCAGAGAACTTTTTCAGTGCACGCCTATGAAGTTCATTCCTAACCTGTCGTTTTCATAGTAGCAGTTTAACCTGGTGTTAAAATACAGCTCCATCCTGATACATACATACAGAGGAAGAAAATAAATGCGCCCTCTGGAAAGAGATGATATGTTCTCGAAATTAGTGGCAGCCATTCCTCATAGTGTGTGATATGTTTTAAAGTTTAAGGTCATTTTTTTTTCTTCTTTTTTAGTATGTTCAACTATTAGCATCAACTGCTGATACATTTACCTCAGGCTTTTTTCTTTACAAATCCTACAACCTTTTTGGAAATTCCATTCCTTCTCCACTCAGCTCTTAATTTTTTTTTTTTTTTTCTTTTTAAAGTGAAAGCAACTCTCATGTAAGATGAGCACAAGTGAGCTGCCAGGAGGTAAATTCTCTGTGCTGTAAGCAGGCTTCTATTTTACATGGGATAGCCACTGTGGAATGCAACAACTCTGAACAACAGATCATGAGTCCAGAAAAATACAAATGAAGTGACAGCAGTGTTTACAGTGCCAAGTCACTTAAATGAGAAGATACCTTATTTTGAAGTGACTACTGTCCTCCTTTGTTAACTTGAAACCATCTGGTTCTAAACATGTTTGACAGAAGGATAGAGGCTACCAGGAGACTGAATCCTACCAGTTTTATGACAATCAGAAGCAGGAAAAAGGCAAAATTTCCTCCTGCCCTGCAGGAGAGCCTGCAGCATGCACTCGAGATACATGCAAGGGTTGTCCAGCCAGCAGGGTGGACATCACTCACAAAGTGGCCTGGCAGCTGGCAGATGTGCTCCTCAGCATGTGTTCTGGGTGTCCTGCCACTAGGAAAGGAGGGAGGGAGCTGGAGGTGCTGCAGGTAATGGCCAGGGGGAAGCACAAAGAACTCTGGAGGGAGCAGTCCTAGCCGAAATGTTGTGGAGGGGGAGAACACAAAGCAAAAGAGAGGCAAGCCTGTTGATTGTGGGATGACTTGTTTAATTCAGATACACTCTGATCTGTCAGCAGATCCAGAGGTATTTCAACAGTGAAGCATTGCTTTAAGGTTAAAGACTGCAACTAAAGGGGGAAAGACAGAAGTTCTGTTCTTTATCTAGGAGGCGTGAACTTGATGAACCGATTATAACGTCTGTGTCTCATATTCTTTCTCTCTGAGAGAAGGATAGAAATACGTGTGCTTCAGAGGGGAGCTGAGGTGCTTCATCCGTTTGGAAATGATTTTTCTCCTTTAGGAGACAGATGCTTTACCTTTTCCATGAAAAGCTGTAAATGTTTCAGAAACAATTAAAGAAGCTTCCTGACATTCTCTTGGGTGAGGAAATATGATTGCTGTGGGAAAACTGAGGCAAAGAATCTATCATGTGAATATTTTATTTTAATAGTTAATGAACAGGGAAAAAGAAAGCATTACTATAAAACACATGAGCAAGATTGTGGAAAACTTTGGCAGAGAAAGGGACTGATAAATTCTGTCTTGATTGACATCTCTTGAAGGTCAAAGTGTCTACCCAGTGTATGAGGCAGTGTTAAATTTGCTCATGATGTATATATATAAAATCAGAAGACCTTGCCTCTTAGTATACTTAATTTCAGAATACATGTACTGCATAAGGCTGGCTGGTAGAGTAGAAGTAAATATTTTGAAAAGTGAATACATAAAAAGATAAGTTTTTGGTGTGACATCAGCAATAAATATTAATATTTTTTACATGAAAGCCTCAAATTATTTTATGAACAATACCTAATCACCAGATAGCATGCCTCTTCAGGAGATCTCCAAATGTCTTGATCAAAATATACCACACCATTTCACAGTGTTTGTGCGTAATGGCATTTCCTATTTGGGAATTTGGAAATAGAGGCACAGAGAAATTACGTAGGTCACACACCAAATGAGTGGCAATTGAGGAAGAAAAAACAGATGTCATGACCTTTTCCTCTTTCTTTAACTCAGAAGATTGGTAGTCTTGCAAGCATGCACGTCTGTTTTCAGTTTAAGCTGATTCTTGTTCTTGCAAGATGTGTGATGCTTCAGATAGTGCAGTTGTTTTGACTCCCTCATTCCAAGAGCCAAGGCATCAAATCAGTTCCTCTAGGCTAGCGTCAGTTCTCCACTAGGACAAGCCTCCCTTTTTCCATCTCTAGTAGATTACAGACTGAACACATACCAAGTAGATTTCACACTATGGCAGATTATAACTATATGGATACTTAAGTACTAGTATAAAGTTAACTCTGATACCTGTGGCAGTTGCTTTCCCCCACTAGACTTCTGTACATTTATATCATTGTATAAATGCATCTGTAAATCAAGCATTCTATGAAAGAAAAGAGAAACTTCAGCTGGTAGGAGATTAAAAATTTATGGTGAGAAAAGACAGGGCCACCCGTAAGCATCAGGTATTCACTGACACTAAATGATTATTTTTGATTTGTTTTCATGTTTGTTTTTAGCTCAAGTTTCTCAGAAATCGGCAATGCCTTTATTTGATTGAACTGAACTCAATGTGAGGTTTACCATACATTTAAGCTGAAATATGCCAGCACTGGATATTGTGAAAATCTCACTCCTACACATACCCACTTTCACTTTTGTGTTCTTGAATCATATTTGGGTAGTAAATGAACAGAAATGGGCATGATTACATATCCCAGGAGAGCTAGTGCTTTGCAGAATGCTGTCTGTACTTCAGAATTGCTGTGCTTTTAATTGTCTTGCAGCCCAGCTTGTCTTTGTATCCAGTGGGTTTCCTCTCTGGCCTTGTAAAATCCATAAATTTGTGAAGTATAGTAGACAAGAACCCTTTGCTCTTGCTTGTGCCATCCCTAACTTGTGACACACATGGAAACAAGACTCATTCTGTAAGATTCTCCTGAGAGAGTAGGTTATGTGAGAAGAACACTGTCTAGCTGCCTGAGGTCTGAAGTCTTAGGCTTCTTTCTTGGATTTAATTCCTTAACTGTGTCACAAGTTTTGGACTGTTCAGTTCTCTCCCTGGGCCACCTACTCCAATTTTGAGATCATCTAGATTCTCTGTGTTAAATGTTTATGGTTTTCTTTGTCACTTAGAGTGTGAATTGTCCCTTATTTTGTAGAAGGGAAATTCACTTCCTAGTTGTGTCAACAGCAGAAATATATGAACTGTCCACTTCCATTATGGTCATGATGAGGTCTAGATTCACCACTAACCATATCAAAAGGAGGCTTAAGATGGAGAATATATGACTACCAACTGCCCTTTGCTCCTAAGAAATAGGCATTTGCATTCTTTGTATCCTGGGAAGGAGTATCATCATTCTGAATGCCATGCTTATTCTCAGCATGATGTGCGTGATGAAGAAGGCACTCAAAGAAAGAATTAAAGCTAGGATGACATCAAAGCAATTCTCCCTTCCATGGTGGATTAATTACAACAGAAACACCAGCTAACTTGAAAATAAAAGCCCATGTGTGTAAGTAGACTATGGCAGTTTATTCTAAAAATGAATTCTGTCATTCCTCAAACTACAGCTCCAACAACATAATCCCCTACTTTGCTTTCTTTGACACACCTTCTCAAATTTGCTGGCCAGCTCATATTGTTGCTTTGAGATTTTTGCTGTTCTGTGTCACTTGGTTGACTTTCAGAGCTGTAATAGATAATTGCTGGACCTAGTGTCTACTGATACTACATTGTGCTTGGCATGTGATATGAAGGGATGTTTCTTCAGTGCTCCAAACCTCTCAGTAGACTTGGAGATTAAAAGTTCAAACACTCTCCCAGCTGAGCACTCAGCACACATAGTGGTTACATAAGAAAATGGGAAGAAAGAGCTTTTCAGGCAGGAGTCTAAGAAGACAACCTCAGTCTATGTCCTTCTTAAAATGGACACTGTCATATACATTAAAAAAGAAAAAAGTGCAACTAATCTTTTATTTTTTTCTTTATTTTATATGTTACTTTATCTTACAGTGACTTACCCTTACCCTGTGGTGCTGTTCAGCATCCAAACATTGCAGATGAGTACAGTCCCAAACTCCAACAAACTGTTCCCTCAGCCAGATAGTGCTGACTTCTGCCTCAAGACACAGTAGAACAGT